AGCCCAAGGGGATTTCCCGAGGGTGGGGCAGGTGCTGGTTGTTAATGAGCCTCAATTTGCATTTCAGTGGCCCACCTGGGTGGGTTGAATTTCCATGGGAGGGTCACTGCCTCTCCCCAGAGCCCTGGGAAAGAGGAAGATGGCCACTGTCCTGCGTGGCTGCAACTCAACAAAAGTTCTGAGCGCCCTCCATATCTCGAGTGTCCCCACACAGTTCCAGTCCATTCTGCCCTCCCTCTGCCAGAGCCTAAGGTGAGGCACTGTGGCTATTTTAGCGCTCTGTCTTGGCTGTCTGTTCTGTGGAATGGGCTTGGGAGTTTAACCCTAGTACCACTGCTGTCCATAGGCTCCCAGCACCCCTCTTGCACCTCTGCAATCCTACTAGGATCGATTCAGTTTCTGGGGTTATATGGTCCTCGCAAGCTGCTTTTTTTTCTGATGATTTGTCTTTATTTTAGTTGTAATTCCAGTTTGGTCCTGGGACATGGTCTGTGTAGCTTTCATTCACTCCACCGCCATTGTGGAATCTGTCTTCTTATTTTTAACTTTTTTTTTTTTCTGATTGAGTGATTTTTTTCAACCCTGTCTTTTAATTCACTGATCCGGTCCTCAGTTTCCTGTACTTCGTTGATTATTCCTTTCAATGTGTTCTTTATTTCTGCTATGTCATTCTTCATTTCCAGTTGGTTGGTTTTCAATGTTTCTATATTTTTACTCATGCTGTTGAGCTTCCTTATTATCATCGCTCTGAACTCTACTTCTGATAACTTGCTTAACTGCATTTCATTTATCTCATTTTCAGTAGAGTTGTCTTGTTCTTTCATTTGGGATTTGTGTCACCATTTAGGCTATTTCAGTGGGTTTTGGAGCCTACCTAATTATTCCTGTGGGTGTTGGTGTTCTGTTGATTGTGGCTTCCTCTATTGGATTTGGATGAGTATGGGAGGACACATGTTATACACCACTGTCAAGTCTTACTTTTCTCAGTAGATTTGCAAGCCCGGGAAAGGTCAGTTATACTCTAGCTTTTTGCCTGGAGGGCATTAGTCTCAGTTACTTGATGAGCTTTGGCTTGTAGCCCTCAACTGAATATAAATCTCTCTCAGGTGTTTAGGCAAAGGAGATTTCCAGAGGGTGGGGCAGATGCTTGCTGGCTGTTAATGAGCCTCAATTTGCATTTCACTGGCCTGACTGGGTCGTGTTAAATTTCTAAGGGAGGGGCTGTTGCTTCTACTTGGGGCTCTGGGTAGGGGCTCGTTGAGTAAGATGGCTACTGTCCTGTGAGGGAGTAATTCAGCAAAACACTTCCATTGCCCTCTCCCATCTCTAAGCTCCTGAGTCACCACACAGTTTCAGTCCAGTCCACCTTCCCTCTGCCAGAGCCTAAGGAGAGTGGCTGTAACTACTTTAGTGCTCCAACCTAGCGCTCTGTGTTGTGGAGCTGCCATGGGATTTTAACCCAGAGAGAGCTGCTCACAGTGAAAACAGCTGCTGTCTGTAGGCTCCCAGTCCACCCTGCCATGCCTCCACAGTTCCTACCAGGCTCTATTCAGTGTCCTTTATCCTGTCCCTGGTTATGTGGGTCCTCTCCATCTGCTTTTCTGTTGCTTTTTCCTGATGATTTGTCTTTATTTTTGTTGTAATTTCAATTTGGTCCTGGGAGATGCTCTGTGTAGCTTCCATTCACTCTGCTGTCATTTTGGAATCTGATACTTTCTATTTATCATCAGATAGAGTGGGAGGGAAGGAGAGAGAGAGAGAGACAGAAACATTGATATGATAGAGTCACATCAACAGGTTGCCTCTGCACAACCTGACCAGGGCCTGGGATGAACCACAACTGAGGTATGTGCCCTTGACAAGAATTGAAGCCTTGCCTCATTGGTCTGAGGGCCGGTATTCTAACAGCTGAGCCAAAGTGGCCAGGGCTCTTCTAATTTTAATGTTCTATTTTCTGTATGTACCAGTTTATTTATCCATTCACCTACTGAAGGCTATCTTGGTTGCTTCCAAGTTTGGGCAATTTTGAGTACATTTGCTGTAAACATCCATGGATATTTTTTGTGGGAACTTAAGTTTCAACTTCTTTGGATAAATACCAAGGAGCTTGATTGCTGGATAACATGATAAGAGTATGTTTAGTTTTGTAAGACACCACCAAACTGTCTTCCAAGTGGCTATATCATTTTGCATTCCCACCAGCACTGAATGAGAGTTCCTATTGCCTCACATCCTTGCCAGCATTTTATGTTAGTGTTTTGGGCATTTTAATTGATGTGTAGTACTATTGCATTGTGTTAATTCAAGTTTCCCTCATGACTTATGATATTTAACATTTTTTTATTTCTTTTTTTTTTTTTTGGTACGTGCCCCTGGTGGGAACCGAACCCAGGACTCTCTGGTCTGCAGACCAACATCCCAACCGCTGAGCCAAACTGGCTAGGGTGATATTTAACATCTTTTCATGTGCGTATTCACTATCGGTAAATCTTTGATGAGGTTTCCATTAAAGTATTTGGTCCATTTTTAATTGGGTTATTTGTTTTAATTTTTAAAAGATTTTTTAAAATTGATTTTTAGAGAGCAAGGAAGGGAGAGAGAGAAACATCAATGTGGAAGTGAAACACTGATTGGCTGCTTTCTGCATGTCCATTACCAAGGAGACTGAGCTCACAACCTGGGCATGTGCTCTGATGAGGAATAAAACCCACAAACTTTTGGTGCATACGATGATGCCCAACCAACTGAGCCACACTGGCCATGGTGGGTTGTTTGTTTTGTTGTTGTTGTTGAATTTTATAGGTTTTTCATATTTTAGATAACAGTCCTTTATCAGATGTGCCTTTTGCAAATATTTTTTCTCAATCTGTGGCTTGTCTTCCCATCATTTCTGTAGCATCCCACTCTATTAAAACCACAAGTATATCATTTCATTTATCTTTTCTTATTTTTCTCTCCCATCCTTAGGACCCAACTTTGCCCAGTCCCAAGCCAGCCAAAATTCAGACAAAAAATCCCAAGGCAAGAGGTAAGCAAGCCAGCTGGAAATGGGATTGTACTACAGTTAAGACAGGGCAGAAGCAGAGTGTAAGGGGCCTGCAGGTAGCTGGAACTTACTTTCTCAGATCCTGAGAAAATAGGTAGGACTCAACCTAGTGTCATTGGAGAAGCTGTAGCCTCCTCACTTCTGTTTATCGAAGTATAAAATCTTAGGAATGAATGTTTAAAATTTGTAGCCAAGAAAGATGACTTCCTGGAGAAGGCAGGCTCATAAAAAGAAGATGATGTGGGTGGGGGAGAGGGAAAAAATATTTTGGGGGAAATGAGGAACTGAAAGAATTTACTAGATTAAGATTAACAGAAGATGCAAGGCAGAGACTTAAATGTGGGGAGTCCATCATTCCTTGAGAAGCTGCTATTTAGAGAGAGAAAACACACACACAAATGTTCTTCATGGATGGGGGTTGTGGTGATGCAGGCATAGAAAATAGACGAGATGGGACTCAGCAAAGGAAGTCGATAAAGAGATCTCTGGGAAATGAACCTGCAGCTGCTCCTGTACCCATAAGGGGAAGGAAAGAAGTGCGTGGGAATTCAGATCCTGACCAGCCAGGTAAGGCTCTAGACTTAGGAAAAAGTTTGGGGAAATAAAGTTCATGTCTGTGTCTCCCCTCCCTGATCATTTCTAAACAATTCTACAGCTTTTTATTATTTTAAGAATAACAAAAATTAGGCCCAAAGGGCATCTCTTAGATTGTAGAATGTTATACACATTATAGAAATACAATGGTTGTGGATTTTATTTGATCCAGAGACCTGAGAATTGTAAGGAAGTGGGAACTAACATTTATTGAGTACTGCTATGCACTGGCTAGATAGATACATTCATGCTTGTTCCCTTTAATTCTTTCAAAATCTCTATGGCTGCATATCTGCCATTTGACTTAGAAGGACACTGAGGCTCAAAGAGTTTAAAATTTGCTCAGGACTCATGTGTCTATCATCTGACTCCAAAGCCTATTACTCCCTATTGAGAGAAGTTTTTTGGAAATAGAAATTTAGGAGTTTGATTTGTAAAAGGTAATGACAGATGACTTATGACACTCATTTTTGTCACTTTTTCATTTAGGCTCTAAGAAAGCATTTAAAGCTCCCCAAAGCAAGGTTTCAGTAACCAGCTTGTCTGAAGAAAATGGGGTTAGAATGGTGTCAAAGGGACTAATCCTACCAACTCCTCATGGGGCATGTCCTGCCCTGGGGAAAGAAGAGCCTGGATCTCAGGAGCTGCAGGAGGCTGGGAGCTTTCCTCCTGATGATGAATCCTCCAGTGACTTGGACCTTGAGCAGCTCATGGAGGATGTTGGAGAAAAGCCAGAGCAGAGGGTAGAGCTGCAGTATAGAGATGACATGGAGGAGTTCACCTTCTTTGAGGAGTAGTTCTGTGCTCTTGTGTTCTATCCCCTGTTCCCTGGGAGCAGGAGGGAGAGCCTCTCAGAGGGTCCCAGAGAACTGTTGCGATTGGCCATTGACTACAAGATTATTTGGCTAAAGTCAGAGTTGTATGGTTATGTGTTAATAAAATAGGTTACTGCCTTAGTTGGTTTGGTTTGTCTCTAACCACATGCTTCATTTTGGCTTCTCTCTCTTCCTCCATGTCAGTGACATCATTGTTTCTGGTGGGAGGCCTGCACAATATAGGAATCTGGGAAGGCAATGACGCCTGAGTCCGGGAGAAAGACAATGTAAAGGGCGGGCAGGTCTGGGTTCAAATCCTGGCTCACTATTTACTAGCTGTGTGGCCTTGGGAAAAGCACTGTAACCATTCTGGTTCTTCATTTCATGTCTCAGATGAGCACATCCAATACCATATAGGGTGGTTCATGTTTAATTGAGGGGGTGCACCACACAATATATGCTAGTTATTATCATAGGGGAAGTAGAACAGTTAGACTGGGGGCAGACCTTGGGTTTTGGGCTGCCTACCAGTATTTGGGGACTTACTGTTTCTAGGCATGAGGCAGTCACTGAACTAGAAGAGGGATCTTGGGCATGAGTATCTATTATACTCATTTTTGGTGAGAAGGACAGAAGTTGAAGCTAACACCAGTTTCTTCCTTAGATGCATTCAGGCAAATCCTACAGATCCTTTTATTTTTGTGGGCAAGGGAGGAAGCTGTAGAAGGAACTGGAGCAGATGGCTGTTTTTCTCTGGTTCTTGGTGGCCTTCAGCTTTGCTGGCCTCTGAGTCACTGTCTGGCTGGGATTATTATGGGAAGTGGTGATTCCCCTATGCAGCTTACTCTAAAGAGGTCATCATTCAGTCACACTCTTTAGGTCTTTAGGATAGAGTATACGGTCTCTTCCTGGGGACTGTTGTGGAGAAGGTGGCTGGGAGGTGCTGACGGTGAGGTCGAGCTAGAGAGGGCAAGGGAGGCATAGAGGATGCCATCAACCTGCATGAGAACAGAAAGAGAAGTGGGTTAGAATTGCAGGGGTTGCTGACCTCATCTTAGAGCAGTCATCCCCAAACCTGAGTGCCTTGGTGATACCACAGTCCCTCTATCCTTTCCACCCAAGTTCTCCAGCTTCCCTTTAATTCTTTAGAGCCGCTTACCTTTGGATCCAGCTTGGAGTCACTATGTTTTCCTAGGAAAAAAATCAGGATGTACCAGGGTCAGATGACATGGCAGCCAGGGTAGAGAAATGGGTAGAGGGCTCAGGAGTGAGGTCATCTGCTAGGTCAAGACCAGGGCCATGGGGTAGGGATGGGGAGGCATGGGAAAGAGGGAAATGCTGAAGGGCACATGGGAGGGAGTGTGTGGGGAAGAAGGAAGGGCCAAGGTGGAGGGTGGGGAGTGATGGTGGTATAACTGACCTTCATGCCCATTGTTCTCATACTTCTCCTCCGTGTTATGGAAGGATCTCCTGCATGGGAAAGAAAGGGTGGGTAATATGTCAGAGGCTGGGCAGAAGAGTTAAAACCTGTACCAGGCTGGTTTTCTTATGGGGTCGCTGGGACCTGCTTGGGAATATTCAGAAGATGTAGGCAATGGTTTGAGGCTCTCAAAAGGAGACTGCCTGGAAGAGCATTGAGAGGCAATTTGTGGTGTGGCCCAGGAGAGTTTCCCAAGAGCCAACTGAAGGAGGATTGTTCTAGGGAAGCCACTTTTGTAGGAAGTGGGCAACGGAGGAGAACTCGGAAGGGTGAGCTCCTGTCTTCTCTGCTGGCACTGCCTTGGTTCAAACTGGACCTGGAAAACCAGTGAAGTTCATCTCACGGCCTCTGGGTGGGTGCTCAGGCCTTGGTCCCCAGGAGGAGACACCATCCTGGGAGGGGACCTGAGGAAGGCAGCTGGCAAAAGGGAAGGAGAGAAAGGGAAGGGGACTTACGGAAAGGAAAGTGTGGAAATGGGAAGAAGGATGGAGAAAAGGACACTGGTGGGAGGGTGAGGAGGAACAGTGCTCAGGAAAGGAAGAACGGAGATCCTGGCACAAAGGAGGGGAGGCCAGGCTGGGAGCTGAGGCGGTAGGTGCTCTGAGAAAAGGCAGATGGTACAGGTGGTGGAGGCAATGATTCTTGTGGCCACTGTGGGTACCTCACCAGGAGAAAAGGCAGACTGGACAATGGGAAAGAAGAGGAAAACATGTAGAACAGGGAAATGTGTTTGGGAAGGATGATGCTCAAAGTGGAAAGAACACAGGATGAGCAGAAGGAAAAACTGAGAAATGGCTATGAAAGGAGGAGGAAAGGGGATACCAGAGAAAGAGAAAAGGGAGACATGCTGGAAGAGAATTAGAGAAACTGCTCGAATCTCTAGGTCTACTGTTGATTTTTTTTTGGCTTTTTAAAAATATGTTTTAATTGATTTTTTTTTTAGAGAGAGAAACATCAGTCAGTTGCCTCTTGTACTGGGGATGGAACCCACAACCTGGGTTATGTCCTGACTGGGAATCAAACAGGTGACCTTTCAGTGCATGGGACAACACTCAACCATCTGAGCCACATCAGCCGGGGATGGTTTGCTTTCTAGGAGCCGGATCCTCAGGAAGTGAAGGATGTTGATGGGAAGGTGGAGGATGAGAGCAGTCGTGCAAGGCTCCCTCACACTGATCTCAGAAGGTCACTTGCTGTTTCCCAAAACAGTGCCCCCCTTGGAGGACAAGCACTCACCTGTCTGGGGCTCTTGCTTTAGTCTGCAGACCTGTAGAGGAGCCAACAATGTATCAGTGTGCCATCCATGAATAGCATCTCTCCTCCTGCCTTTTCTGCTTCTTCCTACTCTGAGACCATCTTGGATAAACCAGGGCAGCAAGCAGCTCTGCTGAAACCCATGTGGGAAGGGCCTAGGACTCAGAGCCAGCACCCAGCTGGTACCCTGAGCTGGCTGCCCTGAAGCTGCCCACGCCTCTCCTGCTATTGTCCTCAGTATTAAATCAGGAGAGCAGCTCTTCTCCGCACCCTGTGCCCCCTTCTCCCTGCCCTCTCTCTCGCTACATTTCCTTCTGCTTTCTTTCTCTTGCTTTGAACTCCCTGCAATTTCCTGACCTGCTCCTTCCCCTGCTGAGCTCTGGCCCACCCTGCCTTTCCCTCCTCCTCTCTTGTCACAGGCAGCCTTGTTTCCTCCTGCTCTGACAAACCAGGTTCTTGTGCTTTCCTTCTGAGTGGTGGCTGTTTCTCTCCCCCCTCTGAAGCTCATGGCTGGAATTTGTGTTTGCACTGCAGCCTGTTCCTCTCTTCCAGCAAGGGCTCTGTTGTTCCTCCCCAGCGCCCTGCACTATCCTCCCTCCACATCCTTCTCAAGTCTCCACAGCATTTCCCAAGCATTTGGCCCCTGGTTCACTCACATCCTCTCCACCACTGGCCACCCTCCTGGGAGGTCTCATCGTCCACTGGGACAATCCTTTCACACACTGGACTCACCCATCCCCCTCAGCTCCAGCAACCTCCACTCCACTCAGCCATAGCCTGAACTTTATTTTTTTAATCACCTGACTAAGAACTCTGCAATAGTAAATGCTGGTATTATTTTTATGCTGCAGCTCTCTTTCCTCCCAGCTCTGTTTTGTCATCGCCACACTACACCTGTGCTTTGACCTCCCTAAACTCTTTCCCTGTTGGAATCCACTTTCTTTAAGGTTGTCTAGGTGGTCTGAGAGTCCTCCACTCTCCCTATGTGCCCTTTCACCAGTTCCTTGACTTCCTGAGTTCCCCTGTCCTGTCACACCAAGCTGATAAATCACCAATCCTGCATGTGTCTGGCTTGGAATGCTACTGACTTACCCAGTATCTATTCACCTCCTCTTACTCAGTTACAGAACCTTGATTTTCTCTGGAGTGACAGTGTGTCCCTTACAGATAGATGTGGGACGCATGACTAAATTCTGGCCAATAAGATATAAGGGGAGGTGTGGACAGGACTTTCAGGAAAGCGCCTGGGCTATATCACATTTTCTCTTCATCTCTGACCCTTCTCCTTACTGTCAGGAGGACAGACAACTGGGTCATAGTCTTTTTGTCCTTTCATCCTTTCTCTTGTTTCCTGCTTCAATTCAGAAATAATGACTGGAATCTTAGCAGGCACCTTGGACCACGAGGCAACCTTCAAATAAAATCTAGGACAGTTAGCAGAAAGGTAGGAGCCTGAGCGCCTAAGGACAGTGGCCTCTGCTGTCTGCCTCCAGATCCTTTTATATGAGGGGGAAAAAAATCTCCCTCTTATCTAAACCACAGTTACTTGTGGTTTCTCGTGCTAGCCGGTGAACCCAATTCCTAACCAATAAGTCCTAAGGGTTTCTAAACTGCATAGCTGAATACTGCTGGGAAAACAACAATTGTGTGCAGTAATATTTTCACAGATTTATGGCTTCTCATCTGAGTCAAATCCTTAAATACTACCTTCCATTTCCTCAGTGATTATACCACATTTTCGACCCTCATGTGTACTCTCAGGAGAAACCACTGTAGTATTTTCTTTGCAGAATTTTTTTAAATCCCAATTTTTATGTAGTTGAATTTATCAATATAGTTATTCATTGATTTTGGGTTTCATGTCATACTTAGGGAGGTCATCTCCACTCTGTGGTTTCAGCACTATGTATTGAATTAGTCATTTCCCCCATTGATTAGAAACGTTACCTTTTAATTTACTAAATTCCTGCATGTATTAGGTTCTATTTTTATCCTGCCTATATTTTGAGTTTTTCTTTTCTTCTATCACTTTATCTGTTATCTCTTTATCTATTATATGCTAGTATTGCATCACTTTAATTATTGTAGCTTAATAAGTATAAGTGCTAATGCTCATCTAGTGCTTACTCTAAGCCATTATGTTTAATTGACATGACAACCTCTGGGTAATTACTATTATTACCTGTACTTTACTGAAGAGTACGTTGAAGCACAGAGTAATACCACTGTGCCAGAGTTGAGGCAGCCAGGATTGATTGCAGGCAGTCATATTTTGTGCCCTTCAACTTTGTCATTTAATATCTAAGAGGGCAGTTCTTGTTGCAAAAAAAATTTTTTTTAATTCTTACCCAAGGATATACTTTTCTATTTATTTTCAGACAGAGTGGGGGGGGGGGGAGAGAGAGAGAGAGAGAGAGAGAGAAGAGAAGAGAAGCATCGATGTGAGAGAGACACATCAATTTGTTTCCTCCTGCACAATCCCAACCAGGGCTGGGAACCAAATAGCAACCAAGGTACGTGTCCTTGACTGGAAACGAACCTGCGACTCTGGTCCAAGGGCCGACGTTCTAACTGCTGAGCCAAACGAGCCAGGGCACAAATTTATTTAACATAATTAGAAATCAATTTTGGATGCTGTTGGGGCATAACTAATTAATACCTCTAATATTGCCCTTTTGTTGAGCTGTAAATGCATATATCCAAATATCATTACAGCCTCATTTCCCCAAGTTGTAAACATGGGACTTCTTCCTGCTCAGTCACCCCTACATCAGTCTAATCTCCAAGTCTTACTGGTTCACTCTTAACCATTTCCAGAATCTGGCTCTTTCCACAGACCTATGTATCTGCAAGGCAAAGTGTGGTTTCCTCTTGGCTGCTTCATGTTGCCTGTGGAATCAGAGGCTCTTGGATGTGATTTACAAGGTTCTCTTCTCCTGTCTCCTGCCTTCTTCACAGCACTGAGCTGCTTACAGTTCCCAGAATCGTCCCTCTGCTTGGAAGAACAGTGATCTCTATACCACCCTCTCACTTCCCTGGCTAGTTCTTTTTTATTCTTTGAACGCTTTGTAGATGTTACTTCTTCTGGGAAGTCCTTCCTGATCCCTCTCCTCCCTTCCAATCTACCATAGCTCTCTCGGAATGAGGCAATTAGCCCTTGAGTCACCGCCTTCTCCCTTGCAGTTCCTTGAAAGTAGAGCCTCTGCTTTATTTACTTATAAGTCCAATCATGAATCAGGCCCTGGAAAAGGGGCCCCCACTAATGCTTGCTGAGCTGAGCCAACCTCCTGTCCTTTCTGCTCTCTCCTTACTTTTCCAAGTGCAGATCTTCCCCATCCCCTGAACTAAAAGGTGAGGACCGATGAGAAATTATTAAGCCAAGAAACAAGAATTGGAAAATGATCAGATTTGAGGAGAGGGGTTGGTCTAGAGCGGTGGTTCTCCAATGTGATTACTCACAGACACTTGAGGAGACTGTTCATACCACTTGAAGTCCAGACCTCACCCTAGCGGGAATGTGTATTTTTAACAGTCACCTGTGGTCATTCTGATGCAGGTGGGTTCAGAGAAACACCTGGTTGAGAAGATTGGAGAGAGAGTGGGGTCCTTGACCACTTACCTTTGCTTCTCTTCCATCGGAGGTAGAGCATCAGTCCCAAAATTGCGATTATGAGCATAGCGCCAGCCAGTGACACCCCTACTATAGTTCCTAGAGTGAGGGGCCCAGACCCTGAGCTCCTTTCATCCTCGGAGACACTGAAGCCGTCTGTGGTGGTGGTGGCGCTGGTGCTGGTGGGGCCCTTGGTAGTTTTCTCGGGGGCTGAGAAGACATGAGAAATAAGCAAATTCTCCCTTAGAGGATTGCAGGTATCTGGATGAAACTGTAACATCCTGTTCTGTCATTTAGGGAATATTGGGGGTAGGGAGCAACCCTCTGAAGCTCTCACACAGGGAGGGGATTAACAAGGTGAAATGCTGAAGGCTTATAATATACATCACTCAGTTCAAGTCCTGACTCTACCACCAATCAGTGGTGTGACCTCAGAACCCCATTTCATCACCTACAGATGGGGATAACTAGATCACAGGATTAAAATTTTTTTTATTGTGGCAAAAGACACAATATAAAATTGACCATTTTAACCATATGTAAGTGTACAGTTCAGCGGCAGTAAGTACATTCGCACTGTTGTGCAGCGCTCACCATCAGCCATCTCCAGAACTTTGTCCTCTTCCCAAAGGAAAATCTGTCCCCATTAAGCAATTTACCATTACCCTCACCCCAGCCCCGGGAACCCACCATTCTACTTTCTGTCCCTGTGAGTTTGACTACTCTTGCTACCTCATATAAGTGGAATCAAAGAGTATATGTCCTTTTGCCATACTGTTTTAATAAATGAGAAAACATGTGTAAAGCATCTAGTATATATTACAAATATATATATATATATATATATATATATATATATATCCTCACCCAAGGACATTTTTTCATTTTTTGTTCAGATAGAGTAGGAGAGAGAGAGAGCAACATTGACATGAAAGGGACACATCAAGTGGTTGCCTCCCACACGACCCAACCAGGGCCGGGGACAAATTGCAACCGAGGTACATGCTCTTAGCGGGAACCGAACCCGGGTCTCTCTGGACCGCAGGCCAATGTTCTAACCGCTGAGCCAAACCAGCCAGGGCTGGAAATATGTTTTTAAAGTTACATTAATATGTATTGAACTTTAATTCCTACAAACATATTGTGCCTTCATAGATGTTTAATGCATCATTAAAAACCTGATATAATAATAAGCCACAGAAAAAATCTAACTCTAAGAAAATCTTTAGGTTAGCATGTGCTTAATTCTCAGTCTACTCTTGTTAGAAATTAATAATAAAAGTGTAAACACCATCTCTCAATTGAAATATACAATTTTAAATTCTTAATCAAAGAAATATATTTATAACATGCTATTTAGGAAATAAAAAATAGGGCAATATATATTTAAAAACTGGGCTCTGGCCAGTGTTGTTCAGTGGTTAGAGCATTGGTCAGTGCACCAAAGGGCCTCGGGTTTGATTCCCAGTCAAGGGCACGCAACTGGGATGCAGGTGCAATCCCTGCCCGAGTCAGGGCAAGTGTGAGAGGCAACCCATCAATGTGTTTCTTTCACATTGATGTTTCCCTCTCTCTCTTTCTCTCTCCCCACCCCACTTTTCAATCTCTCTAAAAATAAATGAAAAAGATATTTTTATAAGTCCTGGCTGATTTTCCTCAGTGGTTAGCGTCAGCCCGGGGACCGGAGAGTCCCAGATTCGGTTCCTGTTAAGGGCATGTACCTCAGTTGCAGTTCGTCCCTGGCCCCGGTTGGGGTCATGTGGGTGGTAGGCAGTCAGTGTGTCTCTCTCACATCGATGTTTCTCTCTCTCTTCCTCCTGCTCTATCTGAAGATAAATGCAAAAATGTCCTCAGGTGAGGATTAAAAAAAATAATATTCTAAGCTCAGGTGGTTTCACGGGTAAACTCTTGAAAAAATTAAAGAAACAAGTAATTCCTAGACATAAGGTTCCAGAGCATAGAAAAATATAGAAAACTATGCAATTCTAATTCATTACATAAAATGACAACACTTAAGCTAATATCCATTCATAATTTTTTTTAAATGAAGATTAAAACAAAAAGCTGTGTGTATGTGTTTTTTAAATCTAAGATTTTATTTTATTTTATTTTATCTTGGTTTGTGCCCCTAGCGGGAACCAAACCCAGAACTCTCTGGTCCGCAGGCCCAATGCTCCAACTGCTGAGCCAAACCAGCCAGGGCTGTGTGTGTGAGTGTGTGTGTGTGTGTGTGTGTGTGTGTTTAAACTGGTCTGAGTTGGGGAAAACACCCAGTATTGACACAATGGGAATATAAATTGACACAACCTTTGGGAATGTGTTCAGGAATATCTATTAGACTGTAAAATACTCATGCATGCTCTTTGACCCAGTGATTTCAGTGCAAGGAATTTGTCCTATGGAAATGCTGGTGTAAGTACGGTAAGGCCTGTGTTTAAGGGTGTTCTCTGCAGCATTGTTGTGATGTGGCAACAACTAAAATGTCTTTAAATATGAGACAGATTAAGTAAATTATGATACATCACTACAATGGGTTAGATACGGGGCAGTTATTTACATTCAATATTATTTTGTATTAGTTTGAGGTATAAAGCATAGTGGTTAGACAATCATGTACTTTACAAAGTGATGCCCCGATGTTTCAGTACCCACCTGACCCCATACATAGTTATAATATTATTGACTGCATTCCCTATGCTGTACTTTACATTCTTGTGACTATTTTGTGACTACCAATTTATATTTCTTAATCTCTTCACCTTTTTGTCCCAGCCCTCCAAAATCTCTCTCATCTGGCAACCATCAGTCTGATCTCTGTATCTATGAATCTGCTTCTATTTTGTTTATTCATTTATTTTGTTCTTTAGAGTTCACACATAAGTGAAAGTATATGGTATTTGTCGTTCTCTGTCTAATTTATTTCACTTAGCATAATACCTTCTAGGTCCAACCATGCTGTCACAAATGATCAGATTTCATTCTTTTTCATGGCTGAGTAATTCTATTGTATATATGTACCACCACTCTAAAAATAATTTATTTTATTGATGCTAGAGAGAGAGAAAAAAAACACACTGATGATAGAGAACATCGATTGGTGATCTCCTGCATGCTCCCCACTGAGGATGGGGCCCACAACTGGGCATGTGCCCTGACCAGAATCAAACCAGCGGCCTCTTGGTACATAGGTCGACACTTAACCACTGAGCCACACTGGCCGGACATGTGTAAAAACTTTTTAGTTTGATGTAGGCCCATCTGTTTATTTTTCCTTTTGTTTCCCTTGCCTGAGAAGATGTATCAGAAAGAAAATTGCTAAGAAAAATGTCAGAGATTTTACTGCCTCTTTTCTTCTAGTTTTATGAATTCTAGTCTAATATTTAAGTCTTTAATCCATTTTGAGTTTATTCTTGCATCTATCTGTCCAATTTTCCTAACCATTCATTAAATAGACTATCTTTACCACATTGTGTGTTCTTCCCTTCTTTGTCATATATTAATTGATCATACAGGGATGGGTTTATTTCTGGGGTCTCTATTCTGTTCCATTGGTCTATATGTCTGTGTTTATGCCAGTATCATGCTATTTTGATTACTATGGTATGAGGTAGCATGGTACCACCAACTTTGTTCTTTCTCAAGAGTGCTGTGGCTATTCAGGAGTCTTTTGCGGTTCCATATAAGTTTTTGGATTATTTGTTGTAGTTCTGTGAAATATAGCATAAGTATTTTATTATTATTATTATTATTATTATTATTTTAATCCTCACTCGACATTTTTTTTGTTCAGATGGAGTGGGAGAGAGAGAGAGGAAGAGAGAGAGAGAGAAACATCGATGTGAAAGAGACACATCGAGTGGCTGCCACCCGCATGACCCAACCAGGGCTGGGGACAAACTGCAACCGAGTTACATGCCCTTAGCGGGAACTGAACCCGGGTCTCTCTGGACCGCAGCCCGACGCTCTAATCGCTGAGCCAAACCCGCCAGGGCAAAACTGTCTTTATTCACTGATGACCTGATTATTTATTTAGAAGAACCAATGGAATTTAAAAAAAAAAATCACTACAATATGAGTTTAGCAAGATTGCAAGGTACAAGATCAATATACAAAAATCAATTGTATTTCTATATACTAACAATAAAGAATTGGAAATTGAATTGAAAGCAAACCGGCCAGGGCTACCATAGGTATTTTGATAGGTAATCATTTCACAGTATATGTAAATCAAACCATCATGCTATACACCTTAAGCTTATACAGTGATATATGTTAAGTACTTTTCAATAAAACTGGAAAAAAAATAATAGGTTAGCATTCTAAGAGGGACTTTCAAAGAACATTAAAAATATTTGCCCTGACTTCTAGTCAAGACAGCAGCATAGGTAAACGTGGCGCTCACCTCCTTTCATAATCACATCAAAATTACAACTAAACTGAAGAACCACTATCATTCATAACTACCTGAAATCTGGCTGAATGGAAGTCCTACAACTAGGGAACTAAAGAAGCCACATAAAGACTGGTGGGGGGAGGGGTACGGAGATGAGGAATAGGCTGGTTTCACACCCATGTGTAGCAGATAAAACTTGGGAGGGGCCCTGGCTGGTTTGGCTCAGCAGTTAGAGCATCAGCCCATGGACCAATGAGTCCTGGGTTTGATTCTGATCAAGGACACATACCTTGGTTGAGGTTCATCCCCATCCCTGGTTGGGGTCATGCAGAAGGCAACCAGTCGATGTGACTCTCTCATGTCAATGTTTCTCTCTCTCCTCCTCCCTCCTACTCTTTCAGAAGATAAATAGAAAAATAGCCTTGGGTGAGTATTAAACAAACAAAAAAAAAAATTGGGAGGGATATCTCAGGTTTGGAGATCCCCCTGAGGAGTCAAGTGTCCCAGCCCCACACCAGACTCCCCTTTCCAGAGTTCCATGGCCAGGAAGAAAGTCCCCATGACTTCTCGTTGTAAAACCAGTGGGGATGGAAGTTGAGGGATATGGAGGGCTGCTGAAGTCCCAGGCAGTTCCTCTCTTTTTTTTTTTTTTTTTTATCCTCACCAGAGGACATTTTTCCATTTTTTGTTCAGGTAGAGTGGGAGGGAGAGAGAGGAACAGAGAGAGAGAGAGAAACATCGATGTGAAAGGAACACATCGAGTGGCTGCCACCCGCACAACCGACCAGGGCCGGGGACAAACTGCAACCGAGGTACGCGCCCTTAGCGGGAACCGAACCCAGGTCTCTCAGGACCGCAGGCCGACGCTCTAACCGCTGAGCCAAACCGGCCAGGGCCCAGGCAGTTCCTCTTAAAGGGCCCATGCACCAATTTACTTGGACTCGCTCCCTTTGAGCTTCAGTCCTGGGGCAGCAGCTTGACAGGCAACTGAGACATACAGGGAAGAACTGAATTGTCTGGCATCAGGACAAGAGCTTGGGGGACAGCTTTCTTGCAGACAGAAGTGTTGGCAGAGACCATTATTCTTTGGATGAACCCTCCTCCAACAGAGCTGGCAGGCGGGCACCATACCTGAGACTCCATCAACCTGGCTCACACTGTTAGCCCTGCCCTAGTGACTCCCTGAGGCCCTGCCCCACCCAACTTTAGGGCCCATCCAAGCTGTTTCCAGTGGCTTTTCCCTATGAATGGTCTGTCTTGGTTTATACTTCAGGTTTTTCTTAAAATCTCTCAAACAAGCAGTATATGGTCTCAGCATGCCCTGTACCTCTTGCTAAGCGGCCATAGGCCTTGCACTAGTGGCAGCCAGCCTTAGTTTGCAGCTTGGCCTTGACTGGGCACCTCCAAGCCCAGCACAAGTATCGGACATCTGCAGATCACTTTGTAGCTCTTGCCAGGTGGCCCTGGGCAGAATACAGGTGGTAGTTGACCTTGGCCTGCATCTCCTTAGAGGTCCCAGAGCCAGAATGCCAGCCAGCATGGCCAATGGACAGCTTGAGACCAAGTTGAAACACCACCTGACCACTTCTACAAGCAACACACTCAAGGGGTAGACTCAGCAGGCACCAGAGCACTGTTGATGTAAGCCCTGCTCTGGGGGGTTCCCACACACAGCTGTTCCTCTACAGTGGTTGGCGGTCAAAGCCAGTCCTTAAAGCTGATTGGCTTGGGGATAAATCCCTCCCATTTATGTGCCAACAACAATTAAGGCTCAACTACAAAAGGAGGGTGTGCACAGTTCACAAGGGGGTTGCACCTTCAGTGCCCAACTTGAGTGATCAGGGAGACTGTGCCACTGGACCCTACAGACCACCTGCTACATTAGGCCACTCTACCTAGCCTGAGAGACATAGGAGCTCTACCTAATACATAGAAACAAACACAGGGAGGCTGCTAAAATGTGGAGACAAAGAAACATGTTCCAAGTAAAAGAACAGAACAAAACTCCAGAAAAAGAACTAAACAAAATGGAGACAAACAATCTACTAGATGCAGAGTTCAAAACACTGGTTATAAGGATGATCACTGAACTTAGTGAGAACTTCAGCATAAAAAAGAACCTGTCAGAAATGAAGGATACACTGAGATTAAGAATAATTCACAGGGAGTCAACAACAATAGAGGAAGTAGATGAAGCCAAGATTCAAATCAGCAACTTGGAATATAAAGAAGTAAAAAATACTCAATCAGAACAGCAAAAAGAAAAATGAATCTGAAATATGAGGATAGTGTAAAGAGCCCCTGGGACAACTTTGGGCATATCAACATTTACATTATGTGGGTGCTGGAAGGAGGAGAGAGAGAGCAAGAAATCAACTACTTATTTGAAAAAAATAGTGACAGAAAACTTCCCTAACTTGATGAAGGAAATAGATATATAAGTCCAGGAAGAGCAGAGAGTCCCAACAAGATGAACCCAAAGATGCCCACACCAAGACACATCATAATTAAAATGTAATAGTTTGAAGACAAAGAGAGAATCTTAAAAGCAGTAAGAGAAAAGCAGTTAGTTATTTACAAGAAAGCTCCCATAAGACTGTCAGATGAGTCCTAGCTGGTTTGGCTCAGTAGTTGGAGCATCAGCCCGAGGACCAATGAGTCGCGGGTTTGATTCTGGTCCAGGGCACATACCTTAGTTGCGTTTCAGACCCTTGACCTTATCGGGGGTCATTGTGTGTCTCCCACAATATCTCTCTCTCTCTCTCTCTCTCTCTCTCTCTCTCTCTCTCTCTCCCCTCCTCCTCCCACTCTGCCTGAAAATAAATGAAAAAATATCCTTGGGTGATATATAAATAAAATACTGTCAGCTGATTTCTCAACAGAAACATTTCAAGCAAGAAGGGATTAACACGAAATGGTCACAGTGATAAAAAGCAAGGACCTACAACCAAGATTACCCAGCAAAGCTATCATTTAGAATTGAAGGTCTAATAAATAGCTTCCCAGACAAGAAAAAGGTAAAGGAGTTTTTCACCACTAAACCAGTATTATAAGAAATGTTAAAGGGTCTTCTTTAAGATAAAGAAGAAGAAGAAAAAAAGATAAAATATATGAATATTAAAATGGAAAGAGATACACATCTATCAAAATGGAATCTAAAAAACAATAAATAAGCAAGCAGAACAGAAACAGATTCACAAGATACAGAGACCATTTTGACAGTTGCCAGATGGAGGGATTTGGGTGGGGGGGATGTGTGAAAAAGGTAAAGGGATTAAAAATACAAATTGGTTGTTACAGAATAGTCATGGGGATGTAAAGTGCAACATAGGAAATATAGTCAATAATATTCTAATAATTATGTATGGTGTCAGATGGGTATGGGATTTATTGGGATAATCACTTAGTAAGTAAGTAAGGCATCAAACCCTATATCTCACTGAATGATTTTCTCTCTTCCATCAAGTTTTTTACTAAGCCAGTGTTAAATATTTTTCAAATGTTTTAAGGGAATACATATAACAAAACAGTAAAAGTGAGGAGGTAAGTAGAGCGTTATACTCCTCAAACTGTACTCCTCTTATGTTCATTTAGTTATAGTGAATGAAATGACATTATATATAACATACATATACCTTAAGTTTTCCAATTATATGTTTTTAACAGACAAAAATAGAATTATATAACCATTACAGGAAATTATAACAATAAAATTTATCTGTATTGTTTTTAGGTTGTCATACAAATTAGACTGTGTGCCAATTGCTTGATCATAAAAAGAAACAAACAAGCAAAAACCTTATACTAAATGTGACCCAAACAGAGAAATAAAAAAAGGAAGAATTAGAAAAGGAGAAGGAGGGATCTGAAAGGAGACAAAATTTTGTAAAATGGCCATTTAAGGAGATATGGAGAAAGTGCAGAAAAGATAAACCCAAGGCTGTTTGCTTAATTCAGGTCGTGAGTCACTTCATAAATGATCTAAAACCAGCTCTGTGGTCAAGACAGGGCAGTGGTTTACCCAGGCTGGGAGGAGTGATTCATCATTGACATAGTTTAGAGTTGCCAGTGCAAGTGATTATTAAAAGTAAATCGACTTACAGTGTACTTACTGTGTGCCTGGGCCTGGGAGAGAGCCCCTCCCCCACTGACCTGGAGGCAGATAAGCCCAGGTTCAAGTTCGCACACCTCAGTGAGTAATGTAGGAAGATCTATTAATACATACCCCCCATAGTAGGTTAAAATAGATGAAGACAATAAGATCAAATCAGTAGGTGAGACTGAGTGGTTAATGGTTAAGAGAGGAGGCCCTGGGATAAAACTGGGTTCAAATTTCACCTGCACCATGATGGTGACTTGGTGCAGGTGTGAGCCTTGGTTTCCCCATCTGAAACAGGAAGATGATAGCAGTTTCTATGATTTTGGGGTTGTGGTGCAGCTTGACTAGGGTGATGCATATTTAGTTAGGACAAGTGCACGGTAAGCAGGAGCTGCCCTTACCGCTGACTCAGAGGGTCCTCTAACGACCAAGACAGAGGGATAAGGAAACAACACAGTGATTTGTGTGACGGAGGTGGGACTTGGGGGAGTGGGGTCTTTGTGAGAAGCCACAAAGGTACAGAGAATGAACATGGGAAGAGAAAGATGGGGAAGGAAAGAGATAGAATGAGGTGGGAGCATTCAGGGCCATATTCTATGGAGCAGAGTGGCAAAAGGAATCAGGGAGGTTGGGAAAACAGGTGAAGGAGTGTTACCAGGGGCCTGGGTGGAGGGGTGGCCTCGGGACATTATTGGGTACCTCCTGTGTGTGCCAGGCTGAGCTCACGGTGGTGGGGAGACGCAGACATGTAGCTATCTGGGGCTCCACACACAGACACATGACAAAGGGAAGGCAGGCCACATCCTGTAAAAGTGAAGTCCACCTGGGGGACATGGGGCCAGGGCAGGGGTCAGAGCTTCAGCCCCAGTTTAGAGCAAGAAGGGAAGATAAATGGGGAGTCCAGAAAGTGCTGAAGCCTGGGGATGGGGTGGGGGCTGGATCTGAAGGGGCAGTGAGGGGGTGGGGGAAGACAGCCCAAGTTTGGAGGAGATTATAATGAACAGGTTAAGTTGGCAGAGGCCTGGGAAGGAGTCAGGGGCAGGGTGAGATGTTCCAGAGAAAGGTCAGGAAGAGAGGTGCCTGGACTAGTCCTGTGGGACACGGACACCAGTTACCTAGGCAGCGGGTCTCACCTCTCGTGATGGTCAGTTTGGTCCCATTGATGGACTGCCACACCTTCGGGCCTTCTTGTGTGATCAACTGGACTCGGCAGAAGTACTGGGATTCATCTTTCCTCTGCAGGTTTTGAATCCAGAGGCAGCCGTTCCTCCAGCCCTCTGTCCAGTTCAGGGAGAGGCGGTTCTTGTAATTCTCATGAGTGAAAGGCAGGCTTGTATTGTAGATAAACTCCCCATGGAAATTTTTCCATCTCCAGAATATACGCACTTTGGGTTTCTTGGCTAACTCCCAGGGGTAACAGAAGGAGAAGGGGATGCAGATGGAGCCACCCTCAGGGGCTGAGAGGTGTTCTGGTTGGTTGACTTCAAAACCATGGTTTGAATTGCACTTTGCTGAGCCACCTGGAGGAGGGTGGGACAGGAGAGACTTTAAAGCCACCCAGAGAGACAAAGAAGATAACCCCTGACCAACTGGCGCCCTCACCTATGGGCAGAAGTGTGACAGATAGTAGGACTGGCCCTTTGGCTGGATGTCTCCCTTTCCAGGGTTGGGGTAGAAAGGAAGGTGAGTGGTATGGGGGACCCAGCAATGTGGGACCAGCCCAGCTTATTGCTTATTGCAGGTGGGAAGCCCGGCAAGCTACCTCAGCAGACCCCTTCTCCAGACACCTGGCCACAGTCCCTCCCGGGGCTCCCCTGTGGCCCAGCACAGGGCCAGGGGGTCCTGGTCACTTACCAGCCTGCAGAGATGCTGGCAGCAGCAGCAGGAGCAGCAGCAGGGGAAGACCCATTGCCTTGTTCTCCTCTGGAGGATGAGAAGACAAGCAGAGCCTCTAGGCCAGAGGGGAGGTGCTAGGAAAGGACTGCCTCAGGCTAGTCTGACCACTGGGAGAGGCAGGATCAGGCTCCTTCAGAGGACTGAGTGAGGGTGGGAACCTTCTTCAAACATGGCTTCCCCAAGTGACAAGTACTTCCTTTCTCAATTTGGCTTCTTCTTTTCCCATATTGCAAAAGGGCCTCTCTTGTGGTCAGTGAAAGAGCTATGATATATGTCCCCCAGCCCCAGTCTTCATGCTAATGGGTGTGGTCTTGACCTTGGCTGCCTGGGGCCTCTCCCCTTCCACTTTAATTCTTTGTTTTTGCCAGGGACTTTCTCATCTCATTAGGAATCAGTCCCATATCTCTCTGTCTCTGTCACTCTCTCTCCTTTTCTCTGCTTCTCTGAGTGCCTCTCAGGCTCTATTTCTCTCTCATTGCAGGGGAAGAAGGAACAGCGGGACCAGCTCATCAAAATACTGTGAGTACAGCCCCCGGCCGGTTTGGCTCAGTGGTTGGAGCATCGGCCTGCGGACCAGAGAGTCCCAGGTTCGGTTCCTGCTAGGGGCACATACCAAAAAAAAAAAAAAAAAAAGAAAAAAATACTATGAGTACAAAAATCATAGAGATTGGAAAGAAAGAACTAAAAACTGTCTTTTTTTTTTAATCCTGACCCATGGACATTTTTCCTTTTTTTTTTTTTTTCAGATAGAGTGGGAGGGAGAGAGAGGAAGAGAGAGAGAGAGAAACATCGACGTGAAAGGGACACATCAAATGGCTGCCTCCCACATGACCCAACCAGGGCCAGGGACAAACCGCAACCGACGTACGTGCCCTTAGTGGGAACCGAGACGAACCGCAGCCCGACGCTCTAATCGCTGAGCCAAACCAGCCAGGGCAAAACTGTCTTTATTCACTGATGACCTGATTATTTATTTAGAAGAACCAATGGAATTTATAAAAAAAAATCACTACAACTATGAGTTCAGCAAGATTGCAAGGTACAAGATCAATATACAAAAATCAATTGTATTTCTATATACTAACAACAAAGAATTGGAAATTGAATTGAAAGCAAAATGATTGCCCGGCCTGGGTGGCTCAGTGGTTGAGTGTTGACCCATGCACCGGGAGGTTGCCAGTTCCATTCCCAGTCAGGGCACATGCCCAGGTGGTGGGCCAAATCCCCGGGGGGGTCATGCAGGAGGCGGTCAATCTATGTTCTCTCTTATGGATATTTCTATCTCTTTCTCCCTCTCCCTTCCTCTTTCTGTAAAATCAATAAAGAAAAACAATTTTTTAAAAAAATTTTTTATTAATTTATTTTTGTTACAGATGTTTCTCCTTTTTTCCCCGTTGACATCCTCCTCCCCATTCCCCCCATCCCATACCCGGCTTTGTTGTCCGTGTCTATCGGTTATGCTTACATGCATATAAGTTCTAAGGTTTATCTCTCCCCCCCACCAAAACCTGCTCTTCTGAGGGTTGTCAGTCTGTACTCTACTTCCATGTCTCTGGGTCTACCCAATTCCTCAGACTGTTATGTTCATTATATTCCACAAATAAGTGAGATCATGTGATATTTGTCTTTATCTGCTTGGCTTGTTTCACTGAGGATAATACTTTCCAGGTCCCTCCATGTCGTCTCAAAGGGTAAGAGATCTTTTTTTCTTATAGGTGCATAGTACTCCATTGTGTGTATGTACCACAGCTTTTTTTTATCCATTCATCTATTGATGGACACGTGGGCTGTTTCCAGGTCTTAGCTATTGTAAATAGTGCTGCTATGAACATAGGGGTACATATATTCTTTCTGATTGGTGTTTCAGGCTTCTTAGGGTATATTTCTAGAAGTGGGATCACTGGATCAAATGGCAATTCAATTTTTAATTTTTTGAGGTAACACCATATTGTTTTTCATAGTGGCTGCACCAGTCTGCATTCCCACCAGCAGTGTACTAGAGTCCCCTTTTCTCCACACCCTGGTCAATACTTGTTGATTGATGATTTGTTGATGGCGGCCATTCTGACAGGTGTGAGGTGATTCCTCATTGTTGTTTCAATTTGCCTCTTTCTGATGGTTAGTGATGTCTATTTAGCTCCTCTGCCCATTTTTAAATTGGGTTCCTTGTCTTCCTTTTGTTGAGTTGTATGAGTACTCTATATACTTTGGAAATTAACCTCTTATCTGATATATCATCGGCAATTATGCTCTCCCACAGAATGGGTTGCCTTTCCATTTTGATGACTGTATCTTTTGCTGTGCAGAAGCTTTTGAGTTTGATGTAGTCCCATGTGTTTATTTTTTCCTTTGTTTCTGTTGCCTTAAGTGATGTATCAGTGAAAGTTCTGCTGCGTATGATATTCGAAATGTTGTTGCCTACATTTTCTTCTAGGATTTTTATGGACTCATGGGTCACATTTAAGTCTTTTATCCATTTTGAGTTTATTCTTGTATATGGTATAAGTTGATGGTCTAGTTACATTTTTTTGCATGCAGCTGTCCAATTTTCCTAACACCATTTATTAAAGAGGCTGTCTTTATTCCACTGTATGCTCTTGCCCCCTTTGTCAAATATTAATTGAGCATAATGTCTTGGGTCCATTTCTGGGTTCTCTGTTCTGTTCTGTTTTTGTGCCAGTACCAGGCTGTTTTGATCACAGTAGCTTTGTAGTATAACCTGATATTCGGTATTGTGATCCCGCCTACTTGGTCCTTTTCCCCCCAAGATTGCTGTGGCTATTTGGGGTCTTTTTTGGTTTCATATGAACTTTTGAAGTATTTGTTCTAGTTCTGTGAAATATGTCTTTGGTATTTTGATGGGAATTGCATTGAATCTATAGATTGCTTTGGGTAATATGAACATTTTAATGATGTTAATTCTTCCAATCCATGAACAAGGTATGTGATTCTACTTTTTTATATCTTCCTCTATTATTTTTTCAATGTCCTGTAGTTTGCTGCAAATAGGTCCTTTATTTCTTTGGTTAAGTTTATTCCTAGGTATCTTAATTTTTTGCTGCGATGGTAAATGGGATTGTTTTTTTTAGTTTCTCTTTCTGTGACTTCATCATTGGTGTATAAGAATGCCGTTGATTTCTTGACGTTAATTTTGTATCCTGCTACTTTTCCAAATTCATTTATTAAGTCTAGTAGATTTTTGATGGAGTCTTTAGTGTTTTCTATGTATAATATCATGTCATCTGCAAATAATGACAGTTTTACTTCCTTCTTTTTAATTTGGATCCCTTTTATTTTTACTTCATGTCTGATTGCTACGGCTAAGACTTCCAGTACTATGTTAAATAACAGTGGCAAAAGTGGGCATCCCTGTTTTGTTCCTGTTCTTAAGGAAAATGCTTTTAGTTTTTGCCCATTGAGTATGATGTTGGCTGTAGGTCTTTCATCTATGGCCTTTATTATGTTGAAAAATGATCCCTCTATTCCCACATTGCTGAGCGTTTTTATCAGAAATGGGTGCTGGATTTTGTTGAATGCTTTTTTTTAGCATCTATTGATATGATCATGTGGTTTTTATTCTTCATTTTGTTTATGTGGTGTATCACATTTATTGATTTGCGAATATTGTACCAGTCTTGTATTCCTGGGATGAATCCCACTTGGTCATGGTGAATAATTTTTTTGATGTATTGCTGGATCTAACTTGCTATTTTGTTCAGGTTTTTGGCATCTATGTTCATCAGGGATATTGGCCTATAGTTTTCTTTCTTTGTAGTGTCTTTTTCTGGTTTTAGAATCAGAATTATGCTGGCCTCATAAAATGAGTTTGGAAGTCCTCCTTTTTCTTGAATTTTTTGAAATAGTTTGAGGAGACTGGGTGTTAGTTCTTCTTTGAATGTTCGGTATTACTCCCCTGTGAAGCCATCCAGGCCCTGGCTTTTGTTTGCTGGGAGAGTCTTGATTACTTCTTCAATTTCCTTAATTGTGGTTGGTCTGTTCCAAGTTTCCTATCTCTTTCCCAGTTTTGGGAAACTATGTGTTTCTAGAAATTTGCCCATTTTGCTTAGATTGTCAAATTTGTTGCCATATAATTGTTCATAGGATTTGTTAACAATCCTTTTTATTTCTGTGGTGTCAGTTGTTACTTCTTCTTTTTCGTTTCTGATTTTGTGTATTTGGGTTCTCTCTCTTTGTTTCTTGGTGAGTCTAGCTAAGGGCCCATCAATCTTGTTTATGTTTTCCCAAAACCAGCTCTTTGTTTTATTGATCCTTTGAATTTTTTTTTTTTCTTTTCTTTAGTCTCCATGTCATTTATTTCAGCTCTGCTCTTTACTATTTCCTTCCTTCTACTTGCCCTGGGGTTTTCTTTTTTTTTTTTGCTTTCTAGTTCTTTAAGTTATGAGGTTAGATAGTTTATTAGAAATTTTTCTTGTTTCTTGAGGTAGGCCTGTAGTGCTATGAACTTCCTTCTCTCTCTTCCTCTTTCTTTAAAATCAATAAAGAAAAAAAAAGTTTTTTAAATCTTAAAAAAAAACAACTATTTACAAGAGCATAAAAATATGAAATACTTAGGAATAAATATGACAGAAGATGTGTAAGAAAGATATGAACACTGAAAACATTGCTGAGGGAAATGAAAGAAGAATAATAAATGGAAATTTCATACACAAGAGAAGGGGTCAATATTGTTAATATGTCAATTTTCCTTAAATTATTCTGTAGATTTAACATAATATTAATAAAAATTCCAGCAGATTTTTAAAGAAACTGACAAATCAATTCTAAAATTCATAAATAAATTCAAAGTAACTGGAACAGCCCAAAAAACTTTGAAATTGAAGAACAAAGTTAGAGTATTTACACTACTAAACATCAGGACTTATTATTATGCTACTCTGATGAAGATGTATTGGAGTCAAGATTGACAAATAGATCAATGGAAGAGAGTTCAGAAACAGACCCACACATATATGATCAATTAATTTCCAATCGAGATGCAAAGGCAACTCAGTGGAGAAAGGATAGTCTTTTTTTTATTTTTTATTATTATTTTTTTCCTCACTGGAGGATATTTTTCTATTTATCATTAGATAGAGTGGGAGGGAGGGAGAGAAAGAGAGAGACAGAGAGAAATATCAATGTGATAGAGCCACATCCACTGGTTGCC